ATTATTATTATTATTATTATTATTATTATTACTGACATTTTGCTCAGTGATTATTGTGAGAATTTGTTTTCAATTTAAAAGCACTACTTGCTTGACAGTTGGCAAAGACTTTTAGTTTATATTGAGCTCTTTGCTTTGACTATTCTCTATGGGGTGTACCTACATAGTTTTTAATTGAACAGTTCTCTCTCTATATAAAGATTTACATGCTTTTGTTCTGATGGTTTAGATAAGTTCAAAAGTTAAAATGCTTTTTTAAATGATTATTCTTCAATACTTTTTCTTCATACTTGGTCCAACAGTTTGTACACCCAGACTTATACTGGTTCAGACGTATTTTTATAACAGTGACAGATTTATTATTTATTATTAGCTATCAATAAGGAAACAAGAAAACAATAGTGGCTTTGTGGTAAGGGTGTTAATAGTGTACTCACATTCATTGTTAATTTGAAGTGTAATATGCAGTAAAACCTGTAGGAAATGTAGGAATGCAATTGTGGTTTGTCATGTGTGCTATACAAATGGCCTTCTCTCACTTTTATAACCTTTCTTATGGACTTACTGTACTTTTCTAACTTCTGTTATTGTCTGTTTGTTATTTTGTTTATTAGATTTTAATAGTCTTCAGTTTGATATAGAGTACTTCAAGTTATTACAAGTCTCTACATGTTAATGTTCAGCATATGTGTTAATTTCATTTCCAAACAAGTTCTTCGATATGTGAATGTGTAGCTTCTGAGCACCTGAAGTGATTCATACAAGTAAATCTTATAGAGCAAAATAATGCAAGTTTTGTTTTGATTTTTATCTACAGTATCTAAGGAAAATCATTCTTCTTGTGTGTGTTAATAATTGGCAGGATGAAGCTGTTCCTTTCTTTTAAAATGTAAGTGTATGTGCCATTTTGTTATGCAAATAAGTTAAAAATAAAACTAAAGTCATGGACATTCCCCAACAATTGAATAGATAGAAGAGTATTGATATTCTGACCTACAAAAACGCTCTTATCTCTTCATCAAATCTATATTTATAGTTTCATCTAATGTGCCTCTCGAGGTGATGTCTTAAATGTCTTTTTTTCCCTATCCATTTGAATGTTTTTGTAAAGGCTTTCAGAATAAAAAAAAATGCTTGAAGCTTCCAAATGCTTTCTGGAAGAAGAAACAGGGGGATAAATATTTAATATAAACTCCATTTGTTTGTATTCAGTTCAATAACACAATAACATTTCCATTCTTTCAACATGGGTTGATAGTAGTCAATGAAGCCGGCCTATATATATATATGGTAATTGATCTTAAAAGAGAATGTCTTCATTATTTTATCACAAATCATTTCAAAACCTAACTGTTAAGATTAACATAGTGAACTGGATGTGTAACACGTTGGTAGATATAGTCTTCTTCATTATTTAAATATTAAACAATTTATGGTATATTATTTCCATTCAACGGGTCGCTTGGAAATATTAATATTTTTATTTGATGTTTAATATGATTATATTAAACCTCAGCAGGTGCAAAATACAATGAATGACCAACTATTCTATAGTGTCATGCTTCTCCAATATAGATTATTAATTCCTATTGATTTACATAATTACAACAAAATGTTAATTTATGATGAACTGTAAATGTGCTGTAAAATTTGGCAAAGGTTCTGTGACTGATGACTGCTTTTGCCTTTAAACAAATGGTGTGAAACAAATTACAAATTACATCATGCTTAGCAGCACAGAACAAAGTTTAGAAGTCTAATGATGCTGAATGTGCAATGGAAAAACATAAGTCCATTTTTTTTCCAGTAGATCTTCAGCTTGGTTTTCTTTCATATTATAAGACAAACCTAAACTGGAAACATAACTGTACAGTAAGCAGCCAAGTGCTCTGTGTTTATCTGATTTTGCTGGGGGATCTCTGGGGTGTTTCAGACTGAGCAGTCAGACATCATCCTAATAGAACAGGAAGGCAAGATAACAATTTACCAATTGTGCAACCTTAAGTGATGGCAATTCCTCACAACTTACTGCAGTCATGTTACATCTACTTCTACAAGGGCAGCAGAGTTTGCATGTGAAGATCCTGGTAGTTTTCTTCTTTCACACTTACTTGATCTATTGGCAACGCTAAGGCTGATTTTTTTTATCCACAATGAACCTACTGTACTACCCATTTCCTATTCATCTTAACTTAAAGGGCCTTCTTATCTTCTTGTTTTGGGAACACAAACATATTAGCGCCTTCATACTTATGACTTTTACTGCATGTACAGCATTTTTCTTCTTGTGAGCTCCTTAGTTGCATAGGCTGTTTTTGATCATTTCCATCCTGTATGGTGATGAGCCACCCCTTAAGCAAGGAAGCATTTTCTTCTACATAACTAAGAAAAAATTATCTGTAAACTGCAGAATCTATGCTGCTGTTACCAAATTTAGTTACGTCATCAGTAAAGACAAGTGAGTTGGTTCCAGAAGTGGCTGCAGTGGCCACAAATAGGACATGATTCACAAATGAACTTGGGGTCTTTGTATCATCAGCCATTCCTTTCTTTTCTCCACACTGTAACCTTTCATCACTTTGGTTATAACTTTTGTGTACTGTCATCTGTCCATAAAACTTCTAAAACTCTGTTGGATCATCTTTGTACATCAAAGTTAATTTTGAAGAAAGGAGGAGGAAATGTCATGATCTGGGCATTCATGACCACCTCTGGAACAA